GCTAGAGTACTGCTTAGTGCGGCGTTAAACAACAAACAAACAAACAAACTTTACGACATGCTCTATCAATAAAAAGGGGCATTCAAGGAATAATTATCAATATGTCTTCAAGTTAAAGTCTTTACAACATTTACATTTCGTTAAAAGGGAGTGTATTAAATTTATATTCTCAAATTCTCAACGGCATTTATTTTTAGAAACTATGGGGGTGGTAACAATACTTTTAATTATTTCTTTTACATTTACTTTTACCAATGTGTTATATATATATATATATATATATATATATATATATATATATATATATATATATATATATATATATATATATATATATATATAAAAAATAAAATAATAAAGTCCACGTTGGTCCATCATCTTCTTTATATCAGTTTCATACATAGTACTTTCGCTGTCTCATGACAGCTCTTCAGTGTAACTGACATTGACATTTACCTCATTTTTGTATATATAATGAGGTAAATGTTCACTCGGTGTACATGTAATATATAATAAATTAATAAAGTCCACGTTAGTCCATCATCTTCTTTATATCAGTTTCAATCATAGTACTTTCGCTGTCTCATGACAACTCTTCAGTGTATATATATAAATGGAATATACTCGAACATTAAGGGAATATTCATCAATAAGTTACGAAGTTAAATTCTTTACATTTACTATTAGATGAAAGGAAAGATCGGCCATTCGGAATGGATTATCCGAAGTGTATAAATATATTCCTTATAACATTTTGCTATTGGGACAAAAGGATGCTGGGACCGAAAGCTGTGGAATGAGAAGAGAGGCTCGCTGTTCCGCGAATACAGCTTACGACACAGCCTTCACCTGACTGACGCGGCGAACCCGAACTCACATCGGTATCGATAATTCATTGGCCCTTGCACTCAGTGACCCCAAACCTGCTCAGTTTCAACCAATTCACAAGCATGACTCGCTGAGGCTTTCGGCTGTTCGATCAATATTGAGCGTTAGGGTGATGTTATGGTTGTCATTGTTATGCATGGTAGACGTTTTTTAAAACATAATACTTATAGTAAAATAATTACGATTATCATTTTTTTAAATTCTTTATGTCACAGTCGTGTTTAATTTAACTGATCAGAAACCGTTATTTTCTATATAGTTTACATGTAGCTTTAAAAAGTGTATATTTATACATATTATTGATGTTTAGATAGCTGAGAAAATGTAGAAAATATTGCGGAATTGAGGATATAAGACAAGAAAATATTGATTCGTTTAATAAATATTACATTTCCATTTACAAAATGTCCTAAAAAAGTATTTAAGAAGTTGATAAACATGTGATCGCTAATTTCAACGCGAATGTTTCCTCTAAGATTGAACAAACCAAAACGATGTCTGTTAATAAATATATCGCTGAACAAATAACTGAAATAAGTCACGTAGACATTGCTGGCGACAGTTATAATCTGCACCTGTTGATCTCGGTCGACCGCAATAGACAAGCTGTCTGTCACCATGTGGTGAAATTGACCAATGTGTTACAAATCACAATATCTCTTTGTGTGATTGGCAGATTTATTGACAACATTTATGGGAGATTTATTACCCTTTTTTCATCAATGAAACCTACTGGTCGGTGCAAATCGCATTGTTTATTACATATGCATAATATTATATATATGAATGAGTGAGATATATTTACTTATGTGTAATGAAATATACATGAGGGTTTTAAGAAGCGTTTTCATATCATATCTACAACAACTAACGTCTCTGTCTGACTGTTTAATTTATTGCATGACAATATTTATCAACAGAGTATTCGCCAGATAACAATGTTTATCTTTATTAACGCACTTGGTCGCCCTCGTTGATGAAGAACCGGCTCAAAAGGGGAACACGCAGGTTTGATTCAAGCCATTCAAACACAACCCTAGTGTCTGATGACTCACATTAATGGCAAATATTAATTTAGCAGTAAACACGCGGTGGTACCAGTGAATGGAGTTTAGTTTCTGTCTTATACAAAGCGTTATTTAGCTCTCTGACTGAGCTATAAGGAAGGCATCGTTTTTCATCATGGGGACGGCAGGGTAGCCTAGTGGTTAAAGTGCCGAATGCCCGGGATCGATTCCCAATACGGGTACGATGTGGGAACCCATTTCTGGTATCCCGTCTTGATATTGCTGGATTATTGCTGAAACAACGTAAAACCGTACTCACTCACTCACGCGTGGCGCCCAATGTTCGATTCCCCACGTATGCTGTTTGAACCAATGTCTGGCGTCTCTCGCTGTTACGTTGCTGGAATATTGCTAAGAACGGCGTTAAACCATACTGGACCGGTCTACGCCCACTCATTCAACCTTACTCATTTACCCAATCACTCACTCAAAATTATCAACTTTGTTAAGACACTCGACGAGATAAATATGTTTATAAAATCCTCTTTCTCAATATTAAACGACACAACTGAAATATCTTAGACACTACTACCTTAATATCGTTACCTTATATTTCAATAGTGTATAGGTATGTACTTTTGAATCTTCAGACCCGTGAAGTCCGGGGTAGAATAGGTCTTCAGCAACCCATACTTGCCGTAAAAGGCGACCATGCTTGTCGTAAGAGGCGGCTAACGGGATCGGGTGGTCAGGATCGCTGACTTGGTTGAAGCATGTCACCGTATCCCAATTGATCGATGCTCATTATGTCAATCACTGGATTGTCTGGTCCAGACTCGATTATTTACAGACCGCCCTCATATAGCTGGAATATTGCTGAGTGCGTCGTTAAAAAACAAACAAACAATTATAAATCTTCACCGCGAGATATTTTTCAGCGTGTTAAAACATCCTTCGCGTATAAATGCAGCAATTGTCCTAACACTGGACTTACTAAGATAACATTTCCGGGGGGCTACCCCTTGTCGATCACGCATTCGCTACACATACAGCTCATTAATACGCGACTCCGGGCGACGCGATCGTACAGGGAACGGCATCAACGGTAGACAAATGGGTAGACTTGCTTCCGCAGCGTGTACACTCTCCTGAATGTTGAACGAAACGGGAAAAATGTCAGGCAAGAATATAAACCCTACAGCTGGACCAGACCCCCTGTATCCGGAATCTCCTTATTCCGGAGAATTATTTCAGGGAATTGCTCTCTCTCTTTATATATATGTTCCAGGCGTAACATCCAGCCTTTAATTCGTTAATCAGGACGATTACACTGAGAACAGTTACATACGGATTATTGAGCTTTCACGGTTTAAAATGATTTAACGAATTTATCGCAAATATGTCTAACATAACTATTGATGTAAATAAACAGCATTATACTTGTCTGTGAGAAAACGAACACAGCTTTTTGTGTAATCATGATGATGATTATTAGGAGGAATGTTATTTGGATGATGATGATGATGATGATGACGACGACGAGGAAGGTGATCAGTAGGAGGAATGTTATTTGGATGATGATGATGATGATGATGCTGATGATGATGATGCTGATGACGACGACGACGAGGAAGGTGATTAGTAGGAGGAATGTTATTTGGATGATGATGATGATGATGATGATGATGCTGCTGATGATGATGACGACGACGACGAGGAAGGTGATTAGTAGGAGGAATGTTATTTGGATGATGATGATGATGATGATGATGATGATGCTGATGATGATGACGACGACGACGAGGAAGGTGATTAGTAGGAGGAATGTTATTTGGATGATGATGATGATGATGATGATGATGACGACGACGACGAGGGAGGTGATCAGTAGGAGGAATGTTATTTTGATGATGATGATCATGATGATCATGATGACGACGACGACGAGGAATGTGATAAGTAGCAGGAATGTTATTTGGATGGTGATGATGATGATCATGATGATCATGATGATGATGACGACGAGGAATGTGATAAGTAGCAGGAATGTTATTTGGATGGTGATGACGACGACGGTGATGGTGCTCACGACGAAGATGTTTATGATGAAAATGACGGGAATGATCTATAGATATAGCACGTGACATAGAACTACAAAAGTATTGTATCTACAAATATAGGATGTAACCTACGTTGTATGCTGTGCTGCTGACGTCCCGCTACACCTGAACCCCGCAGTCCAGGAGTCGTGATGCCAGGGCATCATGCGGACCTCAAGCGTGACACTTGCAACAATTTATCTGGAAAACGAATTAATTTCACTGGTACTGAATTAATGAGGATCGTATGACTTTATCATGAACCATATTAATACGGACTGCATACTGTCACCATAGAGTGCCATAGAGTGCCATAGAGTTCATTTACTTATGAAATTAAACAAAATATGGATAGAACTGCCTGAGATGGGTCGTGATTGACTTATACAGTGTCGAATCTCGTCTATTTTACCTGAAGGCACTTATGAAAGACTCGAGTTTTCTGTATACTAATGATTCATTTTAATAAAATCATTAATATTTGCCTCTCAGGTCAACGAATTGATACTCTGAGCCAATATGTATATCATAGTATAGTACACTTAAACAAGTTTCTACAACCGATTTGTTTAAACCCGCTAACCGTTGAGCGAAGGACAAACACCATGACGCAACCACTTGCTTTTATAAAGGTGGTGATGTTTTGTACTGTCGTTTTATTTGCCATATTCCATTAACCTGATTAGTGAAACACGCTTGACTGGACTTAAAGGGGATGAGGTACGTGAAATTTGAGTCGCTTCTACTTACGGAACGGAACTGAGGGCATGTGTATGTAGACCCCCCGCAGGGTCTGGGTTGCACGTGCACGTTCATCACCCTAGCAACGGGAGGAGGGGGCAGATGCGGTATAATATGAGGTGTAACAGACCAGACCAGTGTAAAAGACCAGTGCTGAGTATATATATATATTTATATGTCTGACTGCTGAGGTATCACATTCAACGGCGCGATGGAAATGTCAATAGTCCCTTTAACAGATACCTGCATTCTGTAGCCTTATACACACGTGTATTGACTCACCGTGGTATATATACTACCTTGAAACTCCATTCATACTGTCAGCATTCACTCACACAGGTGAGAGAGAAGGGGAGGGAGGAGGAAGATAGAGAGACGAAGAGAGAGGACTAAATGACCCCCATACAGAAACAGCGGTCAGTTGAGCTCGAACCTAACAGCGGCGAAGAGAGAGAGGGAGGCGGGCAGCGCGTTGTCAAGCCCAACCGGAAGCCAAGGCATGGACGGGCAGGTTAAGGAGGTGAGAGGACCCACGGACCGTCCAACCGGACTCAAAGCTGACCGCCACAACGCTTTCGATTAGTGGGAACGTGACGTAAGCACACCACGCTACACTACAGGCGGCTTGAGCCCCGAGGGAGAGATCTTGGCTGAAGCGGAGCGGGTGGGCCGTACTTCGAGATACTTAGTTCAGGGTAGCGAGCGCCCGAGACCAAACGCCTTGTGAGGGGGACGGTCGCTCGACGGTCTACCGTGAGCTCGGAAAAGCAGGGAGGGGCAGGTCGCACATAGGCATGGCCTGTTATAAACTCATATATTTCAACGTGCGAGGGAGGGCGGAGTTGACTCGTCTGTGCTTTGCTGCAGCGGGGCTTAACTTTGACGACGTGAGGATTCCCAATAATGAATGGGCGACGATGAAATCGAGTAAGTATTCCACTAATTTTCACTTACTGTCTCCGTCGATAGATTTTTCCGCAATTCAGGTGTTTGCTGATGTTTATTATTGTTTTCCTTTTTTATCACCTGGAAAAATTCGCCGTGCATTGCAAAGCCGGCGTGAGTGGACGCAGCGATATCATCTCTGGGGTCACAGGGTGCAAGTAAATGAGTCTCGCGATCGGAGTCGTGTCGCGTTGAGGGGACCCAAGACTTGGGACGATCAGAAATGCGTTATACGACCCAAGTCTCTGTCATGCACCACTTGCCATCTATAACGTCCAAAATGAGCTTACTAACACTCTTCCATTGTCCATACAGCGATGTATAGTGTTAACCGCAAAGGTTCGTTCTGCGGAAAATATTTCGTCTCTTGTGAGTCTCTCACAATGAAATATGATATATTCTTTTCACGTGTTTTGTGGTTGAAAAGTAGTGTTTAGTTATCGAAGCGGACGCAAGGGAATAACCCCGTTCATCCTTTTCTATATGAATAGATCCCCTGGCCTTGAGTATTATATCCGCCATTTCTTATTTTTAGAGCGAATTGTGTACTGTTGAAGATTTACAAATTCAGGCGTACGCTTCAGCGTTGTCAGTGTCGTACAAACCTATTTAAAATGACAAAACCTCTTACTGCCGGTTCACAATAGATTGGGAACATTAAATGGAAATATGCCATTCAAGAATCGCCCGTACACGGGGAGGCTTATATATCTATCATCTTCCATTAAACTGGATTTTTATATGACATTTCAAGGTGTGACATTTACATACACGAATAAAATCTGTGATGGTATTGTCACGAGTGTTACTTAAAGTCAAGATTTACATATGAAGGTCAATGGGTGTCATTCAATGGGTACACGTGGCTGTCGTATTTTATGTGCATGTACTTGTTTTGTTGAAGAGAGAGAGAGAGAGAGAGAGAGAGAGAGAGAGAGAGAGAGAGAAAGGGAGAGAGAGAGAGAGTTGGCCATGGAATTATTCTGGCTATAGTACTACTATTTCGATCTGTTATAACTGAGAAAAGTGATGTGTTATGTGAAATGGAGTTGAACGTCGCGTCCAAGATTATTGCACGTATATAGCGACGTGTGTGTGTGTGTGTGTGTGTGTGTGTGTGAGACCAGTCCTTAATTAAGCCGATCAGTGCCGTGCGCCAGGCAGGGTAACAACAAATACCATCTTTTAACATCTTTTTGTATGACGCGGCCGGGGATCGAACCCCGGACCTTCCGCTTTCCGGACGGACGCTCTACCACAAGACCGCGGAGGCGGTCAACTGAGAAAAGGATGCCATGGGGGACGCCATTTTTTTATGTTAAAACTTTCGCCGAAGACTTGGTTTGCTTTTCTTCTTGGCTACAGTCTGTCACGTATGTGAGTGAGTGTCGCCGTCATAATGCTTGACTATTGCCCAAAGCAACGTAAAACCATATACACTCACACAACACTGGATGGTAGTGTTTGTTTTCTGTATTGATTTCTTGTATGTAATAGATAGTGGGATAAAATCTTAGGAATGCGTTTGCGTGCGTTTGCACCCATCAAATTAAATTTCCAAACATCCTGGCTATTTTTGGCTTTAAATCATTGGGGAAATCATGCCACATATGTGATCGTTTACCATCTTTGTGACTGACTATTGTCCGTAAGTGAAAAGGCCCAGGAATATCACGACGGGTTCACCGATAATGGGCTTCACGTGTTGTAGTGTATGTGGGGAATCGAACACATGTATCGGGTGTAATAGGTGAGGTGAAATTGGGTTTAACGTCGCGTCCAAGATTATTGCAATTATATAGCGACGTGCATGCACGTGTGTGTGTGTGGCTGCTTGTACTAGTCCGGACTGATGCCGATTTATAGTGCTAGCACACTGAGATACCATGCTGCAGTTTAACTTGAATACCCCACTCAGACACAGTATACTGACTCCGAGCCGACCAGTCCTTGTTTTAGCCCCTTTATGCCGAGCGCCAGACAGGGTAATAACAAATACCATCTTTTAACGTCTTTTGGTATGACGCGGCCGGGGATCGAACCCCGGACCTTCCGCTCGCCGGGCGGACGCTCTACCACTAGACCACGGAGGCGGTTATCGGGTGTGATAAGAGCAAAAGCTTAAACCACAAAGCCAACTCGCCGCCCCAGCATCGATGGACGTTTTTATCCGTGTCTCGCCATTGTGAATACATGTATGGAAGAATGTATGGATGTTGACCCGAGACTGATTTATATCCATACGACATGGTGGGTAGACCATAGCCCCGTGCTGAAAGCGTTCGCTCATTACGATCAAGGTCCGAGTTCGAATCCTCATGTGAAACAAAGTTTCATGACAGTGTTTGATGACAAGTTTTTTGACATATTCGAAACAATACTTAAAACCGGTAGACGTAAAATCACGTATAACGATATAGGGTCACGCGTGGCTCACTCATCATACAATTCACTTGGACAGAGTTGCGTCCCTTAGGCGTGACAGAATCCTATATCCGCGGGTTCCAATCCCAGATTACACCTGGTTATGGTACTAGGTTTGTCAGCACCATACCTCGCTCGTGGGTTTCACCCAAACTGGTAACCGTCTAATTTTTCACTTCCGCCTTTCCTCCAACATCACAGCTCATTGGTTGCAGCGTTTCCTCGTCGCGAAGACCCGGGTTCGATTCCCCACATAGGTACAAATTTTGAAACCCCTTTCTCGTGTCCCTGCCGTGGTATTGCAGTAATAATGTTAAAAGCAGCGTAAAACAATACTTAATTAAATTGTAAAAAGGTACATAACGAGAAGCCTATCCATTGACATCTACAAAACATTTACACAGTGAAACACCGTGCGTCCGACCACCCGCCTCGTTCAACCGGAACTTGATTCGATGATTTCATTGGGAACGATGTCGTGCCGATTAACGAGGTTGCACAGAGGACATTCTAGAGCAATGTTCAATCCCTGTTTCACGAGGATGGGGTCAGGTCGTAATGGTTTTACTCTTATCACACAACCACTGTAGAATCGGGCCACCTCAGCCACTTCTTGAGAATTCTTGACTGGACGCTTGCCTTGAGCAAGTTTTTGCCTTGAACAAACACCGAGTCAGCTAACGCACTAACGGAAACAAAACCCGCCTGGTCACATAAAGAGCCTGGTGAAACGTTAGCAACAAAAAATACTGATTCCTGAATATCTCTGAGGTAAGGAATGTGTTCACATTATTGCAAATCTATCTCACCGTAGTCTCCCAGGTCCAAAAATATATTAGAAAAATAATCCATCTCAAGTCTAGAATGATTTGGCAAGTCTAGATTGCCTCGGCTCTAGGCCTGAAATTAAACCTGGTTCTGGGCTCCATTTGAATTATATTTTTTTATTTTGTAGATATATATTTTTAATATGATACTTTATTTCTGGGATTAAATGTTACTCTAATCGCACGCTAAGACTTACCTTGTAGCTACCATAGTGATCGTGTAATGTACTGTGTATGCGATATCTGTAAAATCTGGGTTTTCATGAAAATACATATCTATCTGATTGAAACAAAATTGAAAAAAAACATGATGCACACGCCTCTCTATATCATAAGCGCCTGCCTCGAATAAATATCAAGCGCTGATTAAGTGATTTACGGTAAGTGAGTTCTTCACAACCGTGGAAACGATGCGACGAATTATAACATGGCGATGCTATCAGATCGGTGATGAATGAACACATATTGCCTATATCGAAATCAATGACACCATGCATTTCAATGTGTCATTCAGCGCCGTCACGTTACAATACTGAGTCACTGTCTTCTTCCAAGCAGCCCTAACCTAGAAAACACCACCACGTGCCGAAGTCGATGTGCAATCGATCCGCTTCAACTAGACTTTGTACCGGGCTTGAGATTGAATATACTTAGCCATGTTGCTTCGTGCTTGCTAACGTACTCAAGCTCTTTGTTCACAGTGCCTCTCCGGTCTCGGTGCAAAGGGACTCAATATGCAGGCTTTTAAAAACAGTTTATTTGCTTTTTTCTGCCAAGAGCCACGGCATAATCACCCAATATCACAACCTGACAAAGAACGGGTAGAATTTCGCTTCCACGATTCGACTTTCAATAAAGCCTATCTTTCCACCTGCACGTCGTAAAATTGGCATTCAATATTGAATCTTTTTGAAAATAATGGCGAGTCTTGTAGTAGATTGAATAATATCGTCATTAATGGGTAATTATCGGGCCAGAACGTCACTGACACTTCCTAACGAGTATCAAATTTAAGAGCATGGCTGTTTCTATTATCCGCCATTTTTCGCGTTGTACGTTTCTGAAATCAATGATTTAGACAGTCATTGCTCGAAAATAGTATAATTTTACTATGAATTATAAAACTAGATACATTATTGACGAAACAAAGAAACGGAGACTGCCTGCATCCGTACGTCATTAAGTTGACATGTTTTTTATGGTAAATTTTCCCCTTAATAAATAATTGATGACAATTTATCGTTCGCTCATCGGGAAATTCGTTATTTTAAACCAACTAGCCGTATGAGAAATGGGAAATTGATTATATTAATTAGAAAGCGAGACATTAAAAGTACCGTTGCGTCGAGAAACCTGCTGAGGCTGTATTGAGCGAGTGTAGTATTTCATCGCAGATATGTTTCATTTATATTATTATCCCGGCATATTGAATGTTCGTGCTTCGTTATTAACCAGTGGTTGATACTGACAAGATATTCGCTATAAACGACAAAAACGACATTGCATTCAATGCAAAGAAGTTTGTTTTATCAAACGGCATTTTTTTTAAATATAATAATTGACGGCCCTTAGAAACACAACTAACTCTTTAATTGAGCGTCACAGTCATGGTAAATAAATATGTTATTGTACTTTCAATTTCTCAGGGTATTGTTGAAGAAAGAAAAAATATAACTTGAAGCAAACGCCTCTGTGATGAAATAATTACGTACCTGTATGTATGGACTTTCC